TCTTCTCCAGTGGAGGTGACTCCTCTTCCCCACTGGGGCACGCTGCCCTCTCAGCCCTCAACTGAGATCCATGTCGCTCACACTGTCACTCTGGACCCCAGCAGAGCAGCGAGTGTGAAGACGGAGAGACCACTGGCAGCTCTGTTCTGCCGCGGGCCGGGCCTCTTGATCTAGGCCAGTGAGTCACCCTGCTTGGCTGCACTCCCTGCCCCGCTCCCATCCTCTCAGTCCTTTACTCTCTCCACCCCCAGCTCCAGGAACAACGCCCACCTGGGCTCCTACTCAGCTGACAGGAATCTGGTTGGAGTTGTTGTGTCCCAGCCTTCCCAAGCTTCCAGGTGTCCCAGAAACCCAGGAAATCGAGACTCATGACTCCCAGAGAGGATGGCGTCTAGAAGGTGAGGCATGCTAATGGTGGAAGAAAAGGAGTTTGGGTGGGGAGGGGAGGGGAGGGAGAGGAAACACTGAGGGCCCTAAATAAGGAGAAGGAGGACCCCATGGTGAATGAGGAATGGGAAGAGAATGGATTTCCTGGAGCAATGAGAGAGGACGGAAAAGGAGGAAGGATCTGGGAGGCCAGGCAATCTCTGCTTTCAGTTCAACAAATATTTATTGTCTTCCTCCTCTGTGGGAGGAGCTGGAAGGTAGAAGAGAAATACAGGCCAGCTTTTGAAGGAAAATGAGAGAGACAGAGACCTATAGAGGCGTAGGAAGAGCACCAGCCAGGCTCTCAGAAGAGACCCAGGACTCCAAGAAGGCAAAAAGTCTGCACCTAGTCCCCACAGTTTACTGAGCATCTGTCCAGGATCCAGAGACAACAGCGAGCCTGCTCCAACCTCTGAGGGTCGTCTCCCTCACCCAGTGTCTCCCTCACCCAGGGAAGCATCTGAGCACTGAGGGAAGTGGCCGCAGGAAGGGGCTGAGATAAGGGCCTTGAGAGGCAATGGGTGTGTTGCGGACGGTGATCTAGGAGGGCGTGGTGAGCTCTGTAACGGAGGGTGGGCTGGAATTGGGAGCCAGAGCCCAGTGGCATATTGGGTGGGTTGACCAGAGGTCACTGAAAAGTGGCCACTGTTTCCAGATGATGGTTTGACTTTGCTTTATTTGGTAAAGGGGAAGAGGAAGGTATAACTTTTCCAGGCGTCAGAGGTGCTCTGGGAGCATTTCAGGGGTTTCCCAGTTGAGAGGCTGATGGGGGTGTTACTCAATGGACCATTTCAAAGACACAGCAGAGGGAATTGTAAGGGGTGGTGATCTGGCTGAGGGACACTGCGGTGGAATGGGAATTTAAACAGTAGGAGAGAATCAAGAGAGGAGCTTTGAATCTACCATTTTGGGAAGAGGAAGGAGGAAGGGGTGATAAGAGAGAGTCTGCAACCTTGGGGTAGTGGAGAAAGCAGAGCCATTCTTTTGGGAAGGAGGAGGGAAACTGAGCTGACCCTGTGCCTGGGCACTGGACTTCTCCCATATGGGATATAGTGTATGTGCTTGTTTGTGCCCAAGGCATGCACACACACGAAAGTTGACTTATGGACTGTCGAGTAACTCTCCCTGGGGTAGGAAAACCTCAGGGTCAGCTAGCTGGGGCCCCAGAGGCTTCACTTGGGCTAGGATATCCCGGATGGAGCGGCAGGGGATCTTTCCAGCACTGCCGGAGCCACAGGGCTTGGCACCAGCGGAGGGATCGGGATGGGGCGAGCCATCGGGGTCCCCAGTCAGTGTCAAGGAGGAGACAGACATGCAAGGGTGACCAGAAGAGCTGGACTTGCTACCACAAGGCTGAAGGATGATTTTGCCACTGGATTGGGAACTAGAGCTGCTGCTGAAGGAGCCGGTGCCTGGCGGGGAGCAGGGGCTCTGGGAAGTGCTGCCGCAGGGATGGTAGGGTGAACCGGAGCTGCTGGAAATGCTAGAACTGCTGTGGACTCGAGAACTGAAGGGAGAGCAGGGTCCCTTGGAGCCTGTGGAGCCGCCTCCACAGAGCTGGACCCCACCAGTCCCCACTGGCTGGAATGCAATGACTGAGGAAGCTCCCGACTGGCTGGGGATGATGGGGTTGCTGGAGAAGTATTTGCCCTCAGAGATGGGGGGCCCAGCTGCAAAGGAAGGGACCCCTGGAGAGCCTTTCACAGGGTTATCTTTGGTGAAGTAGCCCACAGGGTAGATTTTCCCTTTACTGTAGGTCATGCCTGGAACCAGATAACTGTCAGAGGAGCCACCCACCACCTCGTAGCCACCATAGGATTTGTCTACAGAGGTGATTGGGGGACAGGGCTTGCCTGGAAGGCCACCGTTGCTGCAGGGGAGACCTTGAACCACTCCAGGGCCACCAGAACCGTGCTGCTCCACCACCACCACCACAGGCCTCTGACCCCCTGACACAGAGTGGGAGCTGGGGATGTAGGGGCCGGAGTGTGAGATGATGGGCCCTCCACTGCAGGGAGAGTCGGGGATGTCTGAACTACAGGGACGCTGGTTGGAGCTGACCCTTTGGCCACTGGTCTGGGAAAAGGAAGAGCTTTGTCCAGGCTGGGAAGGGTTTAGTATTCCGCGGTAAGCGTTGTCACTGGTTGGCAGAGCAGAGCCACTCCCTACTTGGGAGCTGCTGCTGCTGAACTGAAAGCTGCTGCTGCTGCTGGAATGAGAGCTGCTGCTTCCCAAGTGAGAGCTACTGCTTCCTGTATTAGAGCCGCTGCTTCCTGCGTTAGAGCCGCTGCTTCCTGAGTGAGAGCCGCTGCTGCCGGGCTGGGAGCCGCTGCCGGGCTGGGAGCCGCTGCCGCCCAGCTGGGAGGAACTGGGTGCACCTTGTAGACTAGAGCCAGATCCGGAGGAGTAGCTGACCTGGGAATACCCTGTTCCTGGCTTAAAAGATCCTGCAGAACCACCCTGGGCAACGCTGGATCCACTGGAGCCAC